CAGGTCTCTCTTCATGAAGAGCTGCTGGTGGGGTAGCAGGGATATAGGTAGAAATGAGGGAGTCAACGAAAAATGGCTCTTTAAGTTTAGAAATGTGGGGATAGAGAGTTTGTAATTAAGATAATGGAATAGGGCTGAATTATACTTGGCCCTCCTCAAGATTTTTCAGCATTGGACATTAATTTGCTTTTTGGGCAATTATTTGTGTTCCATCTAATTATTTTCCCAATATTGATTTCACTTAGTTTGTCATTTATTTTCTTGATATAGATATAGTACATAGAGATCTAAAACTGGAAAATATAATGGTCAAAAGCAGCTTTATTGATGCTAACAATGAAATGAACTTAAACATAAAGGTAAGGAATGAGAAATTATGGTAACTATTTTCCATAAGTAGTTTGATAGCAAAGTAGGAAATTGCATGCATGCCCTTTTTAGATATATGCTGGTAGCTTTTGAGCAGTGAGAATATAAAAGGTTTGGGCTAAAAAAAAGTATTTCATAAAAGAGGTTGTGACTGATAATAACTTTACAAGTTAAATGGTGCTACTGAATGCTTTTTTAAAGTACGTATTCATTTGGATAATTCTAAATCATTAGCTAATAGCAAGCAAACAGATGCTCTGAATTCTAATTAATTTCAAAATTATGCTTGATAATTTGATGTAAATGTGTTACAGATTTAGAGAAAAGCACACCTATGCTGTTCCTTTGACTGTACTCAAATCTGTATTACTCATTGAAGAATTTCCTAGGTATTAATATGTATGTCCTAAACACAATTAATGTACCAAGCAAGTGTTTATTCTTAAAGATTTTACTCAAATTAAATGTTCTTTAATATTGCATAAATGATAGGATACGTTATTTATTACTTAACATTTTAATAGTGGCTGCTTAAAACACATCAATGTGTTAATTTAAAAATACAATGTTTGTGAATAACTTGCTTTGTTGCAGAAACGAAATCCCTGTGTAATATAAAAAGGTTTAATAGCATTGTTATTTTACTAGAGTAAAAAAATAACTTTATAAACTCCATGAGGGCAGGAATTGTTAATCTGCTATTCACTGTTGTACCTGGAGTAGTAGTACCTGAAACACGTTATGTGTCTAATTAATGTTTGGTGAATGAAAGAATAAATGTTCTTCAGAGAATTTAGTTGCTTTATCAAACTTTTTGTCTATTGATATCTGTGTAGATTTTCTGTGGAGAAAGATGTGTCATAATTTCCAAGTGGAATATTTGTGGAAACTCCTGGAGAAATTATTTAATCTATATAAAATAATGATAACATCACATGTTAATTGTTGTTGTTGTTGTTATGTGCCATCGAGTCGGTTCCGACCCATAGCGACCCTGTATAGGGTTTCTGAGGGTGTAAATCTTTACGGGAGTAGAGAGCCTCATCTTTCTCATGTTAATAGACACATTTAAAAAATTTTTTTATAAGGCACTGGAAAGTTAGCATTCAGTGACTATGGTCCAGGAACCTATCTTTAGTTGCTTGTTCAATAAATATGCCTGCTTTTCTGCTTTCAACCCAAGGCCGTTCTAACTTGGGAGACAGACCAAGGGCACGTACTAAATGTTTAATGACCAAGATTTAGAACTGAGCAGAAAGACTTCAGTTGTAGCATTAGACCTCCAGTGTATTTGTAGCTATACTGTGGGTTCCCTCACCCCTATTAATTTGTTGTAGTGTTTAATAGTGTAGTAATTATTGTAGTTAGTATACTCTGGAAACACAAAGAAAATAATAATAAAGGAAAGATAGTATTTATCAATCTTAAATAACTATAAAAATAATGGAGTTTTAGTGACTGACAAAGATGATGATTTGCATTTCAGCATGCTTTAAACAGGGACATAGTTTGAGTATCAGAATAACAAATGATAAGCATTCTAAGGCCAGAATACATTTTATAATGAAAGAACTTTAAAGAACACACCACCAAAAAAACAAGACTTTAACTGACAAAAGTTAAATCTTTTAAAAGTTAAACATCTTTCAAGATGTTACTTCCTATGTTGAATTGATAAAAAAAAAAAAAAAATTAAAGGGCATGAGCAGTCAATGTCATGGTTTTTTCCTGAAGATTTGAGAGAAGCGAGCTTCCCTTTACCAAGTTTCTTCTCCACACAGGAGGATGGGTGGAGAGAGAAAAGCAAGTCCCTTGTCCTCACCTAAGAATCCCTGCGTTAAATGCAGTTATGATGCAGTGAAAATCCTGTCGTGAGAATCAGTGGTATGTAAACAGGTGACTGTGCACACTGCCTTCTTCTAGGTGACTGATTTTGGTTTAGCAGTGAGGAAACATGGTAGGAGTGAAGCCATGCTGCAGACTACATGCGGGACTCCGATCTATATGGGTAAGTTAGTAGACTTACAACACAGTTGTTTGTTTTCTCTTTTTGGTATGTGTAGAAGTTGTTATTGTTAGGTGCTATTGAGTAATTTCCATATCATAGCAACTCCATGTGACAGAATATAACTGCTCCATGGCTGTAAGCTTAATGGGAGCATGTCACCAGGTCTTTCTCCTGCAGAGCCCCTCCGTGGGTGGGTTCTTCCTGCCAACCTGTTGACACTACCAACGATCCTTATGTATCTAAGTAGAATAACTAATATGGATTAAAAGTTGAGGTCTTTTCTTTTATTTCTATTTATTGTGAATTGAGGGAAGATTTTCAGAGCTGATCAGTTTTCCATTCAGCAGTTCATATACATTTTGTTTCATCTCATTGACACAATGTAACATCTCTTATCCCACGTCCTCCTGTGTTTCCTGTTTCCATTCCTCCTTTCCTAACCTTTTAGAACTTTATCCTTGGGCAAATGCTGTTCAATTCTGATAGCATTTGTTTTATGTATCTTGAGGCTCTTTCATTGGGTGCGTAGATATTTATTATAGCTATGTTCTCTTGTTCAGTTAACCCTTAAATCATTAAATCATTAGTTAACAACCTTCATTGTCTCTTTTGCTACTTTTGCCTTAAAATCTATTTTATCAAAAATTAATATTGCTACTCCTGCTTTTTTTGTTTGCCATTAGCTTGATACATTTTTTCCATCCTTTGATTTTTTTGTCTGTTTTTGTGTATAAATTGTGTATCTTGTAGACAAAATATTGATGAGTCCTGTTTTCTTATCTATTACTCTACCCTTTGTCTCTTGACTTGTGCATTTAACCCAGTTTCATTTAGTGTGATCATTGATAGGTATGAATTAATTATGGTCATTTTGCTGTGTGGTTTCTGTGTGTGTGGTGCTGCTGTTTCCTTTGCTTCACATAATTTTCTGTGTTGAGATCATTTTCATTTTGAGAATTTTTTTGTCTACTTGTTGCTGTTTTAGTGTGTATTAAATATTTATTATTTACCTTGTTTATTTTTCTGAGGTTTCTTAATTTTCTTTGAAATTACTTATAATTTATTAATTTCTTTCCAAGTTTAAAACAGTCTATTCTACCTTGAAATTGACTTGACTTCCTCTTTACTCAGAAGTTCTGTATCTACTTTATTCCCTCTTTTACTCTGTAGCTGTTTTCATTGACAAATTGCTTTCTTGTTTTCCCATTTTCAATTGTGTAGGTTTGTTTTACTTTGTTGTTGTTGTTAAGTGCCATCAGGTTGGTTTCCCCTTCTGAATGACCTTGTATAGGATTTCTGAGGCTGCAAATCTTTGTGGGGGCAGAAAATCTCAATTTTCTCCCATGAAGTGACTTGTGGGCTCGAACCACTAACCTGTGGCTACAGTCAAGTGTTTATCGTCTAGAGCCACCACACTCCCTTTTTTTTTTTTTTTTTTTACTTTAGATGCTTCTATTCTGGCTTGCCCTCTGGGTGATGTTGTTATATATGTTAATCTCAGGTGTTGTCTGCTGTTGTTGGCTGTCTCAAAAATTCCCTTTAGTATATTTTTTTAGAGTTGGGTTTTTTTGTTTGTTTGTTTTTTATTTCAAATTCCTCTAACTGCTGTTTATCTAGAAATGTGTTCATTTCACCATTATGTTTGAGGGATAGTTTTTCTGGGTATATAATTCCTGTTGACAGTATTTTCCTTTTCAGAGTTTTATATATGACATCCCATTGACTTCTTGCCTGCATGGTTTCTGCTGAAAAATCAAAGCTTACTCTTTTTTTTCAAGTTTTTATTGTGAGGTTTACGTGGGAGAACATCAGCTTTATACTCATCCTATCATATTTCATTTCATTGCAATGATTACAGTCTCCTCCATGTATTATCAAATAACCCCAAAGGGTACATACACCACACAGACAACCCCACCTTCCCCCCCGGCCACCAGCATACAGCCCTTCTCCCTCCCTGAGTCCAGTGTACCCAGCCACTCCATCTGTCCATGTCATCTCTGTCTCCATCCCTGGCATCACTGCCTTTCTGGGTAGGGTCCCGTTTTCTGTTCTTCTCGCTTGATGGTCCCAGGGACCTCCGCTCCTGGACTGCAAAATCAATCACTCTCCTCCTTTTGTCATAAAACATCTACCTCTATATTTCCTAGCCTCATAGTCAGACCAGATGGCAATTATTCATTATTGTACCACAAGAGTCTTATCCCCATTTCCATTTAGCAGCCCGGTCCCAACGGATTGGAAATCACTCAGTGGTGATTCT